TATATGCCATTATTAAGCTTGTGATCTACCAGAACTCACAGATCCTTCTCCACCATTGATTCCCCCAGTTGTACTCCTCATAGTATGTATGATGCGTGCATATTCTTAGCCGCCCAGTGCATAACCTTACATTTATCAACATTAAGCCTCATTTGCCACATAGTTGCCCAATTAAACAGTGCATTGAGATCGGCTTATAAATTGGTGTCATCTGCAGAGACAGAAATGGTATTTTTAATCTCAGACCCTATATTATTTATAAATATATTAAAAAGTAAGGGTCCTAACACTGAACCTTGGAGTACACCACTGACAATCCTATACCATTCAGAGTATGAATCATTAACCACTACTTTTTGAATACGATCTATTAGCCAGTTTTCTATCCATTTACATACGGATTTTTCCAAGCCCGTAGACTTTACCTTACACAGCGTGTGTTTCAAATAAACTAAAATCTAATAAATGCTTTCACATGTTAATATAATGTCAAACTTTTTTTTATTTTTTTTTTAAAGGTGTAACTTTCATTAAAATAATACCTGGCAGTGTTAGAACTATCACCATAGCATTCCATGTGGCTATATGGGGACCCCAGGGATATGGAGCAGTGGGCATCTCTGTAGTTAAAGCAGAACTTTATGCATAACAACTTGATAAAAAATGTTTTTTTAGCAAGGAACATACATTCCACATTAATAATTATACAACCATAATTAGTGTGTCCTGTAAATTGCCACCTCCACTGTTTTTGGTTCTTCTTACTGGACGCTGCCATTTTGCTGAGCCCAGAGCCCCTGGGCAGCATTAAAGTGGTTCTAAAGGCTCAAGGTTTTTTACCTTCATGCATTCTATACATGAAGGTAAAAAAACCTTCTGTGAGCAGTATCCCCCCAGCCCCCCTAATACTCACCTAAGCCCACTCTTGATCCAGCAATGTGCACTGGAGTCCCGGGACTCCCTCTTCTCATTGACTGAGACAGAAGCAGGAGCCATTGACTCCTACTGCTGTCAATCATAGCCAGTGAGCCATTGAGAAGAGACATGGAGACAAACCATTGTTCTTTCCATTTCACAATTATGTGTCACTTTGTGTTGGTCTATGTCATGGTCTCCCCCCTCGCTCTACCTTTCTTCCTCCCGTCTCCCCTCCCCCCCCTTCCCCGTCAGGGCTTCCCTCTCGCTCTCCACTTTGATCATCCCCCCTCCCATCCGCTGTGTGTGCAAAGAAGTACTTTATCTGCTATCCGCTGGGTGCCAAGGAGTACCTTTGCCTGCTATCCGCTGTGTGTGCCAAGGAGTGCTTTACCTGTTATCCGCTGTGAGCCAAGGAGTACCTTTGCCTGCTTGCTATCCGCTGTGTGTGCCAAGAAGTACTTTACTTGCTATCCGCTGTGAGCCAAGGAGTACTTTGCCTGCTATCTGCTGGGTGCCAAGGAGTATGTTTGCCTGCTATCCGCTGTGTGTGCCAGATGTGATTCCTGCCTAAACCGTGAGTGCCAATACCCTCCTGTCTGAACTACTGTCCGTGAATCTCCCTATTTTCCCTGCCTGGACTGTCCGTGAATCCCTCTATTTTCCCTGCCTGGACTGGCCGTGAATCCCCCTATTTTCCTTGCCTGGACTGGCCGTGAATCCCCCTATTTTCCCTGCCTGGACTGGCTGTGAATCCCCCTATTTTCCCTGCCTGGACTGTCCGTGAATCCCCCTATTACCCTGCCTGGACTGACCCCATTGAACACTCATACCTTTTATGCCTGGATTGCCCCCTGGAACCCCCCCCTATTACCATTGCCGAAACTGCCGGCTTGGATTAATACTTGCTCGGGCCATCGCTACCCAGATTGCCCTATCGTGGGCCGGATTACAATTATTTGGGCTCCTCCCCTCTCTTCCCCTTTTTGGGTGCCCAGACTCTACCTTCCTATCCTGATTTAGTGCCTTCCATAGTTCAATAAAGCTTTGTCTGTTTATCATCCTCCATGTGTGTTCTATCCTGCCTACGCTTCCGTCACAGTCTATCACATAAAATCCCATTAAAATACATTTACGGTTTTGGCTGTAACATGACAAAATGTGGAAAATGTCAAGGGGTATGAATACTTTTTCAAAGCACTGTAACTGTATGTAAAATTAATATCTCCTAAACATGCACCATTTAAGAGGTATTTACTCTTTTGAGAGCCGGCGCATGGAGGGCTTCGTTCTAAGATAAGTCCTTCATAATGTGCTAGTATGCAATGCATACTAGCACATTATGACATTACCTTACAGTGGAATGTTTCTATTTCTTTATGACATGTGGTTTACTACCACTTTAACCATTAAATGATTCCTACTAATGTTCTCCACCATCTTAGCATAATGTTTACCTATAGTCTGTTCAGTAAATTGTTTTGTTTTTTTTTCTTTTCCCCCTCTCAGTAAAATGGTGAGACCAACATCAAGAGTTCGGAAACATTTCCACAGTGCAATTTCTGTTGAGAGCAAAGCTGCAGTTTGCAAATATTGTGAGAAAAAATTTTACTTTCCAAATTCTACAAGGATGACAAAACATATCCGTGCATGCCAAAGGTGCCATAAAGACATTAAAAAATACTTTATTGAATTAAATGATGAGGACCATTATGAAAGTGTGAGTAGCTTTTCCCTACAGCGTTCTCATTCCATAAACACTCTGGGGTTTATTTACTAAAGCTGGTACACTCAGAATCTGGTGCAGCTGTGCTTGGTAGCCAATCAGCTTCTAACCTCAGCTTGTTTAATTAAGCTTTAGCAATAAAACCTGTAAGCTGATTGGTTTCTATGCAGAAGTGCAGGAGATTTAGTACCAGCTTTAGTAAATATACCCATCTGTCTGCTGCTTCTGGATCATCACAACGTGTTTCTTCACCAGCAGCCTCTTCAATTAAGGAAGTGTTGCAAACCACGGCCTCCCAAAAATACACAATATCCTCATTTATAGATAAAATGACACCTGAAATTCAGGGAAACATTGATCAAACTCTTGCAAGAGCAATATATGCTTCTAGATCAGCTTTGTCAATAACTGAAAATGCATATTGGCAGGAAGCTTTTAAATTATTACAAGGGAAGCAGGGGTGGTTACATGTTCCCATGTAAAGGTGAAATGTTCTTAACATTTGTAATAAAAAATAACATTTTAAAAAGCAAGTTTAGTTTATTTATTGAATAAGCTGTACTTTTATTTCAAGCATAATACTTTTATATACACCGCAATTCATGTTTCCAGTGTAACAAAAAGACTTTCAATTTGTAAAAAAACTGCACACTAAATGTTTTTAAAATTTTCCCCAAAACGTCCATGTTTTCCAGAAAAAACAGGGAAAAACATTTTTTCCCATTGATCAGCTTAATGGGCTATTAGTGTGAGGTAGAATGGACGTTGTTTAAAGTTAGGGGGTGTTGGTGGATTTTTTTTTTTATGCGTGCTCAAAATAATTATTTACATACAAGCTGACACACACAGGTTAAAATGGCAATTAAAGGTTAATTTCCCACATCTGTGACTTTTTAAATTGCAATTAGTGTCTGTATATAAATAGTCAGTGAGGTATTAGCTCTCACGTGGATACTGAGCCATGGGGAGCAGAAGAGAACTGTCAAAAGACCCGCGTAACAAGGTAATGGAACTTTATAAAGTTAAAGAAGGATATAAAATGATATTAGAAGCCTTGAATATGCCAGTTAGTACTGTTTAATCACTTAATAGGAAGTGTAAAATCTCTTGATACCACGCCAGGGTCAGGTAGACCAAAGAAAGATTGCAGCCACACCTGCTAGAAGAATTGTTTGGGATACAAAAAAACCCCACAGGTAACCTCAGGAGAAATACAGGCTTTGGAAAAAGATGGTGCGGTTGTTTCAAGTAGCACAATACAACAATACTTGAACAAAAATGAGATGCCTGGTTGAGTTGCCAGAAAGAAACCATTACTGCGCCATTGCCACAAACTTATGCCTGACAAAACCGTGAGATGCCTCACAGCTTCTGGCACACTGTAATCTGGAGTGACAAAACCAAAATAGAGCTTTATAGTCACAGCCATAAGAGCTACGTTTGAAGAAAAGTCAACAAGGTCTATAGCGACAAGAATACCATCCTCTCTGTGAAGAATGGTAGTGGCTCACTGATGTGGTGTGGGTGTGTGAGCTCTAAAAGCACAGGGAATCTTGTGAAAATTGATGTAAAGATGAGTGCAGCATGTTATCAGAAAATACTGGCAGACAATTTACATTCTTCTGCATGAAAGATGCACATGGGATGCTCATTTGTTAACTTGTTGCCATGTTTTGGTTTATGATTGTGCCAATCTGTTATGTCCTACATTTGAATATGAATCCCACAGGCAGAAAATGTGGTTTTCCTGCTCACTCTTGTTTTCTTAAAAATGGAACATACTGTATATCACCAATTCTCCAAAGGTATGCAAACCTTTGAGCACAACTGTTCACCAACTGTTATCCAAAAAATAATCACTTCCATTGCTGCATTGTACACCAACTGTGTTGGTAGATTTTTTTCACAATTAAAGAGTCAATACATGAGAAAAATGGACAGGGAAGTGTTCTCAAAAATATCCCTTGTAAACACATTACATGAATAATTATGTTTAGCTACTCTTGGCGGCAACTACAACTTTAAAATCCCCCTGAAAGTGTGGGCCAGTCCTAAACTTATCAATGGACAATAGGGAATGGTAAAAATATTGTGCATACATAATAGCATTAACCACTAGCCTACAGGGCACTTATACCCTCTTCCTGCCCAGGCCAATTTCCAGCTTTCAGCTGTTGCACTTTGAATGACAATTGCGCAGTCATGCAACACTGTACCCATATGAAATTTTTATAATTTTTTTGTGACAGAGCTTTATTTTGGTGGTATTTAATCACCTCTGGGTTTTTTTTTTCTTAAACAAATCAAAAACCACTGAAGATTTTGAAAAAAAAAAAAAAAAACTTTTTCTTAGTTTTTGTTATAAAATTTTTTAAATAAGTGATTTTTCTCCTTCACTGATGTGCGCTAATGAGGCTGCAGTGATGGGCACTGATAGGCTGCACTGATGGGCACTGATAGGTGGCACTGCTGGGCACTGATGAGGAGGCACTGGTAGGTGGCACTGATGGGCATTGACAGGCATCACTGATGGGCACTGAAAGGCAGCACTGATATATGGCTCTGATAGGTGGCACTGACTGGCACTGATAGGTGGCACTGACTGGCACTGTTAGGTGGCACTGATAGGCAGCACTGACGGGCACTGATAGGCGGCACTGATGCACACTGATAGGCGGCACTGACTGGCACTGATAGGCAGCACTGACTGGCACTGATAGGTGGCATTGACTGGCATTGATAGGTGGCACTGACTGGCACTGATGGGTGACACTGAAAGGCAGCTCAGATGGACACTGATGTGGCATTGATGTGGCACTAAAAAAATAATAATATAGCGAGCGCTTTTGAACATCAGAAAGCAGCTTGCATAAGATCAACCTCTAAAATCCTTAACACATATGATATAAAAATGCAGCACTCATAATAAAGTGCAATAGTGACATATAATGAGCAATCTTATGCGCTAAGACAGTGAACATATGCGTGGTGTCTTAAATGAAGACAATAGTTGGTAAATTGTGACATCATTACATTGTGACATAGATACAACCAATCTAATAAATATAAAAAGTCTATAAAATAATTTAATCAAGTTGCGCCAGTTACCCTGGAAACTTGCGTAAATGGTATTATGTGCTTGTGACTTCCGTGATATGAAGGAAAAGGGGTGTGCTTGCACTCACCAGACGCAAGATAATAATGCGCATATAATGTAAGTGGTCATCTAGGACCCAGTGGATAAGTGATACTTCAATGGCACTGGAACCTGGGTGAGACCTCTGGATCTCTCAGTGGACCCTCTCGAAGGATGGAGAATCTTCATTGTCTTTAATACCCAGTAGTAGGTAGACTCAGCAGGAACATCACCTTTAGTAGCTCAAAATAAAGCCACCGAAAAACAAAGGGCTAATATAGTGTAGCAATTTTATTTTCCAGTACTGGTGTACAAATTAAAGCAGCATTTTCAACCAATATGCTCTAACAGTCCATAGTGATAGCCATAAGTAAACATTGGTGAGTAACAACAGCTACAAAATGAATATAGGATGGTAAATGTAGCCCGTAAATTAATAGCATGCAAGTCGGGAATCCAAAATGGCTGCTGGTTTAGCACATGGTTTACAGCAGTACTCAACAGTGAAATAGGACGTCGGTGCAGCAAGCTAGTATCCTGACGCGTTTCGTGCAATGGCACATTGTCAAAGGGTGTCACCCTTTTTCGGTGGCTTTAGTCTACCTACTACTGGGTATTAAAGACAACGAAGATTCTCCATACTTCGAGAGGGTCCACTGAGAGATCCAGAGGTGTCACCCAGGTTCCAGTGCCATTGGAGTATCACTTATCCATTGGGTCCTAGATGACTACTTACATTATATGCGCATTATTATCTTGTGTCTGGTGAGTGCAAGCACACCCCTTTTCCTTCATATCATGGAAGTAAACGAGCACATAATACCATTGACGCAAGTTTCCAGGATAACTGGCGCAACTTGATTAAATTATTTTATAGACTTTTTATATTTTATTAGATTGGTTGTATCTATGTCATCATGTAATGATTTCACACTTTACCAACAATTGTCTTCATTTAAGACACCACGCATATGTTCACTGTCTTAGCGCATAAGATTGTGCATTATATGTCACTATTGCACTTTATTATGAGCGCTGCATTTTTTATATCATTGATGTGGCACTGATGGGCACTGGCAGGTGGCATGGATGAGCACTGAGAGCTGGCACTGATGGACACTGACAGGTGGAGCTGCTGGGGCTACACAGATCATTAGGGCACACTGATCATCAGTGCCCTGATGATCTGTGTACCCGTCCCCTCCGAGGAATGCCGATTACCGGCTCTCCTCTCCACACGAGCTGTCAGCGTGACAGCTCTTGTGGTGAGAAATGCCGATAACCGACATTTCCCTGTTTACATGTGATCAGCTGTGATTGGGCACAGCTGATCACATGACCAAGCCGACATCTTCGGCTCTTTCCATGGATCGGTGATCCGCTGTGTCCGAGGGACACAGCTCACCACCATTCGCCGTGCTCCGGGAGCTGCGCATGTGCGGTTAGAATGGGAGGACGTCATATGACGTCCTCCCAGAACGAGAAAACCGCCTTGCGTCCGTCATTGGACTATATGGCGGGCGGGAGGCGGTTAAGCATAATTGTGCACAATTTGAGGAGAGGCAAATATCTACCCACCTATTTTTATGCAGACACCTTAACTTAGGACCTACAGTCCCCAATTTCACAATTTTCAGCCTACTCATTGCCATATCATGAGCATCACCCCACTGGTAGGAACCTCTCTTCTCCCGTGCTGTTTTTTTTCTGCAAGCCTGACTAAACACACTCACTTACAGCCTGCAATGCCTAAATCATATTTGGGTAACAGCACTGTGCATTGTAATTAAAATGATTGTAAACCCTCACCTTGTAAAGCAACCCATTCAGATACAATAGAAAATGCAAGGCAAAACATTTGTGTATAGATATAAAAAAAACATTATAAATACCTTTTTTACACTTTTTGATCACAGACCCTCTGTTCTCAGCTGAATAATTATTTTGAAATATACTGTATTAACTAATTTTACCTTTTAAAAAAAATTCATTTAGGGTTCCCCTTTGTAAGCCATTTACAGAACAGGAAGATGAAATCTGTAGCTAAACTTTCCAGATAACTGGAATATTCTTGGAATTTCTGAGTCATAACTCTTTTCCTATTGTATGCTTCAAATATATTATCTATTAAAGTGTAAGGCTGAAAATACCTCTTGTCTTAACATGAGTCATTCTGAGTTGATGCAGTTATATCACATTAAATGGTTTACAGAGAAACATATTTTGAATAAATCTTACCAAAATAGAGAGATTACTACAGTTTTGTTTAAACATTGGTTGTATATACTTTAAAATAATATATTGACTTGTTCACCATCTTATATCAACATGTAGTTTTGCAAAAAGAAAAAAAGCATATTTGCCGAAAAAAAGTTTACACACCCCTGTTAAAATGTCAGGTTTCTGTGATGTAAAAAAATGAGACAGATAAATAATTTCAGATCTTTTTCCACCTTTAATGTAACCTATAAACTATACAATTCAGTTGAACAACAAACTGAAATCTTTTAGGCGGAGGGAAGTAAAAATATAAAACTAAAATAACACGGTTGCATAACTGTGTACACCCTCTCATAACTGGGGATGTAGCTGTGTTCAGAATTAAGCAAATTTTATTATTATTATACAGTATTTATATTGCGCCAAAGGGTATGCTCAGCGCTGTACAGTAGCAAGGGGGACAGAACATGAGACAAGACAGTAACAATACAAAACACGAGGGGTTCGAGGGCCCTGCTCTTTCGAGCTTACAATCTAGGAGGGAGGGGAAAATTACATTCAAAATCATGTTAAATAGGAGTCAGTACATAAAATGTAAGTTTTGAACATCCTACGGAGCACTGTTCAATCCATCATCCGAAAATGGAAAGAGTATTATTGCCCTAAATGTTAACCCCTTCACAGCCAGTGTCATTTAGTACAATTACAGTGTATATTTTTAGCACTGATCACTGTATTAGTGTCACTGGTTCCCACAAAGTGTCAGTTAGTGTCAGACTGCCTGCTGCAATATCACAGTCCCACTATAAGTCGCTGATCCCCACCATTACTAGAAATAAAAAATTTCCAGAATATATACCATAGTTTGTAGATGCTATAACTTTTACAAAAAACAATTAATATATGCTTATTGGAATTTTTTACCAAAAATATGTAGCAGAATACATTTTACATTTTGGCCTATATATAGAAATGTGATTTTTAATTTTTTTTCTATTAGATATCTTTTATAGCAGAACGTAAAAAATATTGTTTCTTTTTCAAAATTGTTGGTCTTTTTTGTTGGTAGCGCAAAAAAAAACCTATTGGAAAAAAAAGTATATACATTTTATGTATGTAGTGTTGCATGTCCATGCAGTTGTCAGTTAAAGTAATGCAGTGTCGTATAGCAAAAAATGCCCTAATCATGAAGGGGGGTAAATATTTCAGAGCTGGAGTGGTTAAAGTTCAAATCAAACCTACTAAACTTATTATGATTAAACACAGGATACACTCTTACTGTGTGATGATGGTATTCTCAGCTTCACTCTGTGCAGAGATTTTCCAGCTTGCAGGACCACAGTCTAAGTGCCAACTGACTGAGATTGATTCACACTGTGGTTTGGATAACTCCATAGTTAACCATTTACACACAAATTGGCAGCACAGTGGCTAAATGGTTAGCACTTCCACCTGGCAGTACTACAGTCATTGATTCGAATCCCAGCCACGGCACCACCTGCCTAGAGTTTGCATGTTCTCCTTGTGCTTGCGTGGGTTTCCTCCGGGTCCTCCGGTTTCCTCCCATACTCCAAAGACATGCTGGTAGATGAATTGGGTCCTGTCTAAATTGGCCCTAATATGTGTATGTATGAATGTAAGTTAGGAAACTTAGATTGTGCACCCCTTGAGGATTAGGGACTTATGTGAATGTATAATATATATGTGTAAAGCTACACCCCTTGAGGGTTAGGGACTGATGTGAACGTACAATATATATGTGTAAAGCTACACCCCCCCTTGAGGGTTAGGGACTGATGTGAATGTACAATATATATGTGTAAAGCACTGCGTATATTGACGGCGCTATATAAGTACCTGAAATAAATAAATCATAGTGGTCAGTTTACGTTGCTCCGTCATCCTGTGTGCCTTCAGCATGACTGCATGTCTCCCCTCCCTTCCTCACTGTCATTTTCATAGTCTGTGGTGTGCAGCAATCTCTTTACTGCCCCTCCCCTCCTGCCTTCATTGAGTTCCTTTTCCCATGAAGCTGCTCCTCCCCTCCTCCTTGTTAAAGGGAATCTTAGCCCCTCCCACTGTGTTCACTAAAATCATAGGGGTAGACCACGTGACTGCACAGCAGCACTGAGCAAAAATGCACTTAGACATGTAATTTAAAAAAAAAACACACACACTGCACTTAATATTGACCAAAAATAGGAGTTTAATAGGATTTATTAGATGTAACTTTACGACCACTTTAGGTTTTGTTTTATTGCATTAGAGATAAGCTTAAAGTGATTATAAACCCTTACATACAGTATATCCAGTGAAGTGACTGGTCTTAGGTGATACACAGAGATTAAACAAATTCTCCTACATATGTTGTGCCTCTCTATATACATCTTTTCCCTACATCCATTCAAAGTGCATAACTTACACAGGATTTCTCAGCTCTGAAAAGCAGGGGGCGGAGAGCTGAAGTTACATCAGTGGAGAGCTCTGAGAGCTGATTGGTGGAAAAGAAAACACACCCCCTTCACACAACACACAATAACAGAGCTGAGGCTGCCAATCTGCTGGAGGTCCCTCTCCTGTCACCTTTTTTCTCTTGGTGTCAGGAAAACTTGTCAAAATTGACTCATGCTGATAGCAGAAGAACGAGGCAGCGGACAGAAAAGACAATAAGTACTCTGGACTGAGACAAGCACACACTAAGGAAAATGGTACAGAAAACTATTTACAGAAAACTATATCACAACAGAAAACAGCAAAACAAAATATATTAGGCATGAAGAGCACAAAGTCCTGGGTTCTTTGGGTTTCAGAAGAGTTCAGTCAGTCAAGCCTAAAATTGATCTGAAATTTCATTGACCCTCAAGAAAAAATATTTTGGCATTTTGATGGTAAAGAGGGTTGTTGTCAAGCTGCAGATGCAACAGCTTTTTGTGAAATTTCTATAAGATGTCACTGACCCCCCCCCCCCCACCCCACCCCCCATCCAGTCACAAGGTATAAACACCTTGTATTTACCTTGTAAATAATATATATAATATGATTTTTTTCTACATACAGTCATATTTCCATTTTACCACATACCACAAGCTAGTGATCCATATTTAATTGTGCCTTAAAGTGGTTTTAAACCCTTCCATATACCCAGTGAAGTGGCTGGCCTCAGATGATACCCAAAAATGAAACAAATACTCCTACATAAGTTGTACCTGTTTATCTGAAATCCTCTCTCCTCTGATCTTTCAGAAAGCTGGGGGCGGGGAGCTGAAATTACACTTTGCAGAGCTCAGTAAAGAGAAGTGAGAGCTGACTGGAGGGAAGGAACATCCCCCCTTCATACAACACACAAGAACTTAGTTAAGACAACAAGGTAGCCAAAGCACAGGGACTAGTAAAAATGTTGACTGGGCTCATCATTCTCAGGCACATACTGCCATTTCCTTCTACGTCCAAGCAGCACACTTCTCTTACTTGAATGTAGGTTTTGATATTTGTTTAACCACTTGACCTCCAGAGGATTTACCCCCCTTAATGACCAGGCCTCTTTTTGTTACTCGGCGCTGCACTAATTCAACTGATAATTGCGTGGTCATGCAATGCTGCACTTAAACGAAATTTACGTCCTTTTTTTCACACAAATAGAGCTTTCTTTCGGAGGTATTTGATCACCTGTGCGCTTTTTATTTTTCACGCTGTAAAACAAAAAAAGGCCAAAAATTTTAAAGAAACGATATTTTTTACTTTCAGCTATAAAAAATATTTAGTAAACTCAAAGTTAGTTATAAATTTAGGCCAAAATGTATTCTGCTCCATGTTTTTGGTAAAAAAAAATCCCAATAAGTGTATATTGATTGCTTTGTGTGAAAGTTATAGCGTCTACAAACTATGGTATAGATACTGCAATTTACGCCA